ATACTAGGAAGTATAGCCTTCTTATTATTAATTTCTCTATTTCGTTGAGATAATATATATTCATTTAATATTTTTATTTTTACGACAACAATTTTAATACTGCGATATTATTATGCTTTTATTTATGAATTAGTTATATTGATCCATATAAATTTTAAGTTTTTTAAATTTCTAGAATGGATTTTGGAAGGCTGTTCTGTTAGTAGTTTTTTAAGAACCAATATGTACTTCTACATGGTTTTTTTATTGTGTAGGTTTCTTCTACCCAGCCTTTACATTTAAAATATCCTTGCTTCGAATGGTACACGTCCTAGTTTCTTTTTGTGCTTAAACTGTGTTCATTCTGGTGCAGATCTTTGCAGAGATTACTTAAGAGCTATAGGTATTGCTTCCTCAATATACAAAATTTAAATAAATTATATATGATTTTTTCATCAATAAATCCTTGTGCTGTATACAATAGTTGTCGGCATTGCTTTTCAAATACTTTCATGTTTTTTCTTTTTTATATTTAATTGAATCCATTTATTATGTTAAGCAATTAAAGCGTTTCTGATATCTAAAAGTGGCATAAAATGGTCTCAGTGCCTCAATTTAATGGTCTTTTGCTGAATTTTTAATACACAACAATTTTAATTTCACTTAAATTTTTACAAAATATTACAGATCTATTTTTAAGAAAGATAATAAGTACATTAGCGCTGATTTTATTTAAAATTGAAGCATAAAACCGAAAAAGTCTGAAATTGTTTGTCTAACGAAATGTTTAATTCATGCATAATTAAAAATTATGAGCTCGCTTTTATCAATAATTGTTGTTATTTAAAATTTATAACACTAAATTTTTAGCAGCACTGTAACCTAATGAATCAAGGTAACCATGGTACAACAACAATGCCGAGAGAAAATTGGAAACCATTTCCGTTACACTATGTTTCATTTGTTAGGATATGAAATCCATATGCAACGCCACATATCGAAACTAGTCGTTGATATAACAACGAGTTTTTCCCGATTTTGATATGAATTTAATAAGAGCATGAATATATTTAATATGTTTTGGTTTGATGTGTAATAACCTCTTGGCTTAATGGAGTAATGGACGAAACGGTCTGTAACACATCATCGACAACAAAATACCATGAAAACTCGCTCAGCCGCTACTGTTACAGCCGAGATCGTTGTAAAGCTTTGTTTTTACTGCACTCCGCGCCAAGCGTGAAAACGCAAGCCGCAATATACACAAGCCGAGCTCAAATAGAGACTTTAGCATAAACAGAAACAGAAGCTGAAATTGAAATTGAAAACAACAATGGCAAAATAGTGAATGTTGATAGACCAAAATTTTTGTATATATAGCTGGCTTTATATATGCAACAAATCAGTCCCAACTTGGATCTCGTTATTGGCTTAACAAATTCATAGAAATAGTTTCCTCTTAAACCGTTACTCTAACAGCTCAACAATGCGAATGGTAAATTTCAAGTGGATTTTTGAATTAATTCCTTTGAAGAGTGTTAAAATTAAAAATATATAGAATTAAAAAAAAAAATTGTACATATGTGATGTTAAAAGTGCAAAAAAAAATATTAAATTTTTTTTTAAAATTATAGAAAAAAAATTTAAAAAATAATTTCTATATATTTTTTTAAGTGCAATAATACGAAAACTAAAATGAAAGCCACCTATTATTGTGTTAAAATAAATATGAATAATGTTTACTTGGCATATCCTTTCAACGTTGTGTTTTTCTTGTCTTACAGTTTGTTCTTCCTTGTCTCGCCTTGTGCGTGGCATTGGCCTTTGCCGAAGAAGCCGCCACAAAGGATAATAAAGCAACTGCCGTAGCTGCTGCATCAGAAGAAGGCAAGACTGTGGAAAAGCGTGGTTTATATTTGGGTGATTATGGGCATCATCATCATCATGAGCACATCAAAACTGTGACCATTGAAAAGAAAGTACCAGTACCATATACAGTGACTAAACATATTCCATATACTGTAGAAAAGAAAATTCCATATGAAGTTAAAATATCAGTACCACAACCCTACATTGTTGAAAAGAAAGTACCAGTACATGTCAAGGAATACGTTAAAGTACCAGTACATGTACCTAAACCATACATTGTCGAAAAGAAAGTGCCCTATGAAGTTAAAGTACCAGTTGATAAACCATATGAAGTCAAGGTACCAGTGCCACAACCCTACGAAGTGATTAAAAAGATTCCCTATGAAGTTAAAGTACCAGTACCAGAACCATACGAAGTTATCAAGAAGATTCCATATGAAGTTAAAATTGAAGTACCAGTACCAAAACCATATGAAGTTATCAAGAAAGTACCATATGAAGTTAAGGTACCAGTAGAAAAACCATACCCAGTTGAAGTACCAAAACCATATCCAGTTGAAGTGGAAAAACCATATCCAGTTGTTGTAGAGAAAAAGGTACCATATGAAGTTAAAGTACCCGTCGACAAACCATACAAAGTCGAAGTTGAAAAACCATATCCAGTACATGTTAAAGTACCAGTACCACAACCCTACACTGTTGAAAAGAAGGTACCATACACTGTCGAAAAACCAGTACCATATGAAGTTAAAGTACCAATCGAGAAACCATATCCAGTATATTCTGAAGTAAAGGTACCAGTTCATAGGGAAATACCAATACCAGAGAAATATCACGTTGAAGTGCCAATTATTCCACATAAGGAAGAACATCATGACTATCATCATGACTATCATCATTACCATCATCACGATTAAGCCAAACTATTACAGATCATGTCAACGAGTGAACTTACAATACTTAATCCAATCACAACTGTAGCAACAACAATATTAATAAAAACAACAGCAACAACAACAACAACAGCAACCGCAAAACCAATAAACACTGCAACCGCAATAGTGAAAATTACTGCAAACATTCATCATAGAGCAACTAAAAGTCTTTACGCATTCACGTTGAGCTGGACGAGGAGGAGACAAAGAGGACGAGGAGGAGGAGGAGGAGAAAAAATACGACAAAAAATAAAACATTACTCAGAAATGTTTTTATTTTTTAATATAAGCCAAATGTGTTATATTTTTAGTTTAAGTATTTTATTTTTTCTACTTAATAAGTTAAAGTAACTAAAAACCTAAAAAAAAAAAACTCACTGACTTTTATTTTCTTCTTCTTCTTCTTCGATTTTGTTTTCTTTTTTTTTTTGTAGTTGTGCGACATTGTCGCTATTGTCACTGTTGTTGCTGTTGTTAGTTATTAATGTCAAGCCTCACTTTCCGTTGCGTTTCGTTACGATCTATTTAAGTGGTTGTAACTGACCTAGCCAAACCGCGGCTACCGCCACTGGACGAAGCCGCAACAGCTTTGGGCAAAAGTATCAAAGCGCAAAGCTGACAGTGAAAGTGACAGTGACTTGCATAAAAAGCCACAAAACAATGCAAATTGTAAAAACAACAATTAATTACAATAACAATAACAAAAGCAAAAACAACAACAACAACAACAACAACAACAAACACAATAGCAAAACAAAAAGCAATGCAGTTAACTCATCCATAGAAAAAAAAAATGTAACAAATACGAAATAATAGAAAAACTCGCTTTCTGCAATATTTTTTTTTTCTTTAATTTTTGTTTTTTTTTTTTAATTTTTTTTCTCTAATTTTTTTTTTCTTTTTGCTTTTTCTATTATTCACTTTTATTTGTAACAGTTTTTAATGTTTCAAGCCATGTAATTGAGCGTGCGCAACACAAGTCAGTCTCAAAAGCTCAGAGTCCGGATTTGTATTCGTTTGGGTATTTGTTGGTTACTTCATCGATTGCATATTTTATGTGTTCGTTTAGATTATGCAACCTGCAAATACTTTCATAGATACAAAATACACACAGACACACACACATACTCACACAAACAAGCAAGTGCATGCTTAAGTATATGCAGCAATTGCAATTATTGTTGTTATTGTTGCATGCAAAAGATTGCATCA